GAATTAGGGCTTAGGCTAATTATTCATGGACTAGGGTTATTAATATATACCTATAAATATACGTAATACGGTGGTTTAAGGTTTAGTAGAAAACGTAATTCTGTAATAACAAGCAGAGAACCTCTGTTCTCGTAGTGGAAAAACCAGAGAGTTATAGAGAGGGATAAAGGGAGGAAGCTATGGTTTTGGGCTTCAACTAAGACTAAATCAAGGAAGGGAGGTTGGTGTATGTTACTGGACTGAACTAGGAGCAGCAGAGGGCATTTAAACACAACCGACGTTACCGGAGTTGATAGAGACGACCGTTAGAGATTTTAAACCAAAGTCTCGAAGACAAGTCTTTGTTCTTCTCTTTCCCATGAATCTGTGTTCTGTGCATGCTTAGTTAGACTCCAGGAATTAAACTAAGTCTTAATTGCATTACTTATACATGTTAAATCAGTTTCTAGCATCATTGAATTAAATATGTTGCTCTATTGTTACAAGTTTAGGTTGTATATGGTGGTTGTTTGCTTTAAACATTGATGAGTAATTAAATTTTTAATTGTATAACTCTGTCTTGTGATCAATCTGGGATGAGGATGGGACTTTAAAACCTGTAATAAAATTGATTTCAAAGACTGATAACCACTGGAGTCGGAGAAGACACACGCAGAACAGCTACGGCTCTTCTTGAGATGGAGAAGGCTCTCTTGAGATGGAGAAGGCTCTTCTTAAAGTGGAGAAGGCTCTTTTGTTTTCAGAGCCTTCTCTTTCTCTTGTTTGAAGTGTAAAACTGATGTTTGAGGTCTTTTTGGCTAAACTGGATTGTTCAAAGGTTATTTATGTGCTATTGTATGATGTAATTCACTGCTTAAGACTTATAAAAATATTGGGAAGCAAGCTCACATTCAGATATTAGAGATAGAATTAATCTAAGTTTAAATAGAGAATCCCTAGGTGGATGAGTGGAGAATTAACTTCTGTTGCTTACTGTTTTTTTTTTTAAATTTTGATTTCTCTGAAAGATCTTAAATTGCAAATTATGTTTCCAGTTGTGGTATAAGCATATAGTAGTATAAATATGTGTATGCTTGGATGGAATTAACTGAGGGTTTAAATTTGCTATAGAATGCATCAGTTGAGGCACTGTTCGGAGGAGTTAAGTGCATGGTTTTACTTTGCCAATTTAATAGACTATAATTAGGATTTTAAATCCTTTTTTGGGATGCCTAAATTAGTTACACGCATGTTAAACTATACTTACGCTTATTTTGGAATGTAGTTGATAGATAATTATACTATTTTCGTCAACTATGTTAACTGGAGGATAGTATGCACCGGTATAGGACGGTGGCATACTAGGTATGGATTAGTTCAGTCACTAAGCCTACCTAATTTGGATTGAGGTTCGGATTAACAATAAAAGTTAAGTCCGACTTCTGTTAGTGTCAGGTCAGGAAATAACTGAATGACATAATTGAATTTCTGGGATGAATGGTTATACAGATATCAAGCCACTATATCAGATGGATGATATTTTGTATTAGGAGGACACGGACTTTATATATTTATGTTATGATGCCATGGTATGAGCTTGAGTCTCATGACCATGGTTAGGGTGCGTATATCGCCTAGGATGGATAAGTGGACAGTAGTAGCTGTTCCCTGGTAGGTCTAGGTACACATGACCACGTAATGTGCGATTTGTATGGTATCTCTACTCAGGCTGAGATAGACCTATTGGACCAATGAGCGTCCTATAGTGTGTATTATATACATATATGGACTACTCTAGATATTGTTGAGTCTATTTAGGATGTATCTGCGTATCGGATTCTTGTTTGGATCGTAGTAGAATAGGACTTGCATGTGGGCCTGACCCACTCTTTTATTTTCCAGGTGCTCGTCAGTTCCAAGGTTAGAGCTTGATCATGCAAAGCAGATACAGACTTCCATTCCACCGACTATGTAGGACTGCTTCCTTACTAGTTTGGATTATTATTACAGTTATTTTATTTTACAGTTGGGATTTTTATTAGGGTTCCTCTAGATGGATTCCCGAGTTGTTAAATAATTGGAGGTTTTGGATTAATGGATTTTAATGATTATACTTTGAGGATTTTTCAATTAAAGTTCTTTCAGCCATTTATTATTTATTTCTTATTATTTCAATTTGTATTCTGTGTTTATTAAGTATTAATTGTTTGATATTTCCCTCGGGTTTAGGCCTGGGCCTGATCAACCCGTGTTTTGGATCTAAGGGGTATCACACCTTCTATGCCTCTGGCCAGCAATGAAATGGCCCACAAAGCCCTTACTCAATTCTTCAAAGGTTTCGATGGTTCCTGGCTTTAGTTTGTTGAACCATACCCGTGCTGATCCTTTGAGGGTCGTTGGGCAGGCCCTGCATATGATCTCATCTAGCATCGCGTGCAGGTGCATAAGCGCTTGAAAAGTCTCCAAGTGGTCGAGGGGATCTTTGTTCCGTCGAAACTCTCAATTGTGGGCATTCTAAATTTGCTTGGCAAGGGGCATTTCATAACCGAGGGGCTGAACGGCAAGTTGGTCTTCTACACCAAACCATCTATGGCCGCAATGCCTTTCCCCTTCATGGCCTACATCACACCCTCCATTTTTGCCTTGAGATCCTGCATCGCTTGGTCAACGTGGGAAATCTCCTCTGTTTTTTCAATGACAGTTGTGTCTTCATAGGGTCGGGAACTCCATGGAAGAGAGGGGTGGATCACCTCTCTATGTCGGGTTCCCACCTGGCTTTGTTCCACTTCGGTCTCATGTCGGGGAGGATGATTATCCTGCTCCTCCAGATTCCCATTACCCGTGTTTGGATTCGAGAGGTCTTGTCGTGGCAAGCTCTGTTAAACCGGTGGAACAAGGTGTTGCAAGAGTGCTGCATTTTGTTGGATTAACTGGCCCATACCCTGATTCAGAGTTTGGACCTGCAGTTCCAACGCTGCAAGCCGTATCTGGTCATTTGGGACGTTTAGGTTTAAACCTGACTCTTCCCTTTGACCAAATCCCTGCGATGGTGTTCCTTCGGTAACCATACCGGACCACAAACGTATACACCCAACCGAGTAATTAATTGATTCAAGGGAATTGTCGTTCCCACAAACGGCGCCAACTGTTGAGGTTGAAATTCACCACGGCCTAGTACGACACCGTTTCCTGCAAAATAAGGACGGCAAAGTCAAACACCAGTGTGGTACCGGCCGTTGACCCTCCGACGATCAAGTTGGTAGGGGTTTTCAGAGAAAGAACTTCTAACGTAAAGAGTCTTAGTATGAGATTTTTTGTGTATACCTTATTCTCGAGTCGTCTTCGTATTTATAATCACTTCCCTTATTCTTGATAAGGGAATTTTATCGTCCTTAGCCCATGGAGCTTATCCCATGACAAATCTTATCCTTGATACGATTTGTCATCATTCTTATCTAATAGAAATGGTTATCCTTGATAACGAGATATTATCGCTTGAAAGTTGAAGAGGTCTAGCGGCTAGTCAATACTTAATTATCTCTGTTGTTAGGTCAAGATAGGTTAGGGTTATTTTTCCCTATCAATATGTATGCAAAAAAAAATATAATTTAAAGAGTGTATGAAATTAATTCAAAGGATAAAGAAGAGGAAGAATCATCCAATGTGGGAATTTGATAGAATTAGGTGTCTTGTAAAAAATTGATGAAGTTTTATGTAATTATTATTATTATTATTATTTTTAACGTGAAGTTTCATGTAATTAATCTGTTCATATATGTATGACACACAAATATAAATAAATAAAAATAGAGTTGTAATAAAGAGTTCAAAAGTGGGATGGAAATGACTTACCCAAAAGATATATATATTAAATATGTGTTAGGGTTAATAGGACAAACTCTCTTAAACTATAGAAAACACTTTTTTACATACTTTGAAACATATTATTGAAATTTTTTTTTTCCCCACAAAAAATATTAAATATGTGTTAAGGTTAATTGCACAAACATCCCTTGAACTATACAAATTTGTATATTAGCCTCCTGAAATGAACTCTCTCTTCAACTATTGAAATAAAAACAACACTTGCCTAAGTTTAGTTCCGCAAAACCCCCTAAATTATAGAAAATTAAACAGCATTTGTTTACACATTTTGAAAGACTACATTTGATATTTCTTTAACAAAATCAAACTTGACATTAATTGCACAAACCTCCTCTAAACTGTAAAAATTTGCACATTACCCTCCTGAAATAACATTAACTCCTTTAAACCATTGAAGTTTTCAAATGACATCAATCCTTTTAACTATTGTTATGTCGTCATTAAATGTGTTTTTAAATTAATAAATAAGAAGGTCATGGGTTCAAAATATAAAACAATGGCGAGCTCTTTTGAGCATCTAAGTCTTATATAGTGTTTGTTAGTGTTGATGATGGATTCTGCGCAACTCGAATTTGATCTGACTTTCTGAATAAAGAGAAGAAAAAGTGATCCTACAGGCACCGGTGTATTACCGGTGGAGTAAATTCCGACGAATAAGTCAGTGTGTGAAATAATCTCTTTAGAGGGAAAAAAAAAAAAAAAAAAATTGAGTTCAGATCTATTACATACCTTCAAACGTGGATTATCCCCCTTCTTTATAGGGCTTAGGTCAGGATGTAACGTAGAGTTATCGTCGTCTTAATCTCTTATGGTAATTATCTCAATCTTATGAGAAATAATGTGTTAATTTAACAACCTTTTCTTATCCACAAGATATTTAAATTATACATCTATCAATCTGAACTAAAAATTTAGAACATAAAATTGAATATACAAATTGACGAATCATTTATCACTCCAACAACATCATGACATTTAAAATTTTATTTGAATTAATCTATCTGAATTTATGAATTATGACAGACAAAATCAATAATAATAGTACTTAATAAATATGAAAAGAGTCCATAATATCCTCATTTTAATTTTGCCAAATATATATATATATTGCTTTCCTTTCCTCTATTTCTTTTATGATGTGTGGCTATATGGTGGATAAGTTTTGGGACACAAGGCCGTTATATTCCAGTACTCTCAACCAAATGAAAGCCTAGAGAGAGAGAGACTCCAATGGCGTCCACCGTCATCTCTCCACCGTTCACCGCATCATTTTCTTCTTCAACGTCTCTCTCATCGCACCCCAAAGCCTCTGTTTCTCCTCTCTATGTCCATTCCTTATCATCTTCCATACTCGGTTCAAGAATTACCGTCAACAGAACATCACCAACAACAAGAAGTTCTATGACCAAAAGCAGCACCAGAAATCGAAATGGAGTGAAATGCTCAGCTTCCTCTCCTTCTGTTCTTCCCTCTGCTCTCCTCTTTGACTGCGACGGCGTGCTCGTCGACACAGAAAAAGACGGCCACCGGATTTCTTTCAATGACACTTTCTCAGAAGTACACTCCACTCTCTCTTGATTTTTAATCATTCATTATCAGCTTCTCACTTTTCGAATTAATTTGATGTTTTATGAATTAGGTTTTTGTGTCTACCACTCTCTCTTGATTTTTGTTCATTTATTATCATGCTTATCACTTTTTGAATTAATTTCATAGAATTGGGTTTTTGTGTACACCACTCTCTCTTGATTTTTGTTCATTTATTAGTATCATGCTTATCACTTTTTGAATTAATTTCATGTTTTATGAATTGGGTTTTTGTGTTAAATGCCTTAATTTTCTAATGGATTGATCACATAATAAAATTGATTGCATAGAGGGAATTGGGTGTTACCTGGGATGTGGAGTTATATGGCGAATTGCTCAAAATTGGAGGTGGAAAAGAAAGGTACTCACTTTTCTAAAGAAGTACATAAGTAGTTCTTTTGAGTTATATAAGTTTTACAATGTGTAGTGGTTCCATTTTTGTTGTTGTTGTTGTTGTTGTTGTTGTTGTGGTTGTTGTTGGTAAAAAGTAGTATATTATGTAACTATTTGAGTTGCATTTGTTACTGGATTGATTTCAGCTCTTTTGTTAGTGAGGAATTTCGTGAGTTGCATTTGTTAGTGGTTGATTCCATTTCTTGTAGGATGACAGCCTACTTCAACAAGACGGGGTGGCCGGACAAAGCTCCAAAGAGCGAAGAAGAAAGGAAGGAATTTATAGCTGGACTTCACAAGCGAAAGACGGCGTTGTTCATGGCCCTTATTGAGAAAAAGTTGCTGCCTCTTCGGCCTGGCGTTGCAAAGTAAGCTGATGTTTGATCTTTTGCTTAGCTAAGCTGCGGTTTTGAGCTTGTGGTTGCTCTTATTTACTAGTAAATATTGGCCATTATTAGTCACCGCACCAATGTTTTCATTTCTGCACTTTGTGAAATGCAATGTTTGGAATAATGGCTGCCCTAAGATCATGAATTGATGGGATAATGAATGCAATAGCATTTTACTACTTATTTTTGAGAAAAGAACACTCCAAGTGCTGACTATTCTGGGAACTACATTTTGTTTTCATCCCATGAGTGGGTTTAGTCAAGTACACTCTTGTATATAGTGGTAACTCACTGTGATCCTGAATCCTTAGAAATTGAAACCCCTTTGGTGAATTCTTACAGATCCACCCCCCAAGGGAACTGAACATGACATTACTCAATCAAAGACATTTAAGTGAGCATAATTTAATTGTTTAATTGTTTCATTCACTTTTCTCTTTTGACTAATTAGCTTCCAGCCTTCCATTATGTCAAGAATTTTGGTGTTGAAGACATACGTAGGCATTCCTTTTCAATACTCCTTAGTGTTAATTGTATACTTGGTTAAGAAGCATCATCTTTGAAGTTTCCTTAGAGATGGCTTAGAATTCAGATACTCCTGATGGCTTTAATACATTTTATTATTTGAGAGGTATAAGGGTTAAGAAATGATTTGTTTTCAAAGTTACATTGGAGAAAGATCAGTAACCGAAGGCTTTTGAGGAATTAATTAATTAATTGACAACCCTTTAGCTCCTTGTAACAATTTACTCTCTTGATGTGAATAAAGTAAGTTACTATAATTACAAAAAGCTCTTTTAGGGTAAATGGTGAGTTGTCCAAAATAAATTATCAGAATCATGGAGTTACGCCTTTTAAGATGTTTTTTAAACTTCAACAGGTTGATTGATCAAGCTTTAGCAAAAGGAGTCAAAGTTGCTGTGTGCAGCACTTCTAATGAGAAGGCGGTATGCATAATCAGGTTCTAAAATGTTGATGCCATGTTCCCGTTGTGTACTGCTTTTTGACGATAATTTACATTGATTAACAACACAAACATGCTCTGCAAGACTTTTGATGCAGAAAAAATATAAGGTTCGTTTTAATTACAATTTATGTATCAGTGATGAAGCAACTGGCAAGTTAAATCAACGGATCTCATCTAATTTTTCTTATTCATCTTTCTATATGGCAATCCTCATCCTTACAGTAAAAATGCTTTGATCTTCTTATTTGTTTGAGCTAGTTTATTAAAAAAATTATCATATTAATCATCATATCTACTAATTGGTTTGATAAGTGGAATGTATCCGGTGATTTCAGGTCTCTGCAATAGTTTCATTCTTGCTGGGACCTGAGCGGGCAGAAAAAATCCAGATATTTGCAGGAGATGTTGTTCCTCGTAAAAAGCCTGATCCAGTAAACATTTTGTTCCACTTAGTATTTTTGCAGTCAGGAGGTGTTTTTAATAATATATGACTGTTATATCTTTTGATTTTGTTCATCACAATTGAATATTTTATTTTTCATTTTTTGTTTTTTCATTTTTCCTTTTGTCTTTTGTCAATCTCAAATATATGGCATCATGCTTTGAAAACCTTGCGAGTATGCTATATTTGCAATGGAATGGACTCATTTCAAATGCTATAAGAAAACAAAATATGCTTCTCTCATTTGCCAAGTAAAAAAGACATAATGCTTCCGATTCTTTGTGGTCTCATGGTGCCTCCAAATATGTACTCATTTTAAGAACCTCAAAAAATGTCCTCTCTGATTGGTGAAGAAACAAAGGACTGTTCTTGACTAAACTGAATTATTCCTGCTTGCAGGCCATTTATACATTAGCAGCCAGCACTCTGGGTGTTGAACCTTCAAGGTATTGCTATATTATGCTAAAAGTGATTATACATTCAATACTACTAACCAAAATGTGATTTTGGAGGTGCCACGTGCTTTGTGGATGAAATTGAGACATGAGTATGTATACGTGGTTTTAATAGATCATTTTGAAGTCCATCATTTTTTGGCTTTTACTTTTGTCACTGATAAAACGTGGGACTGTTGTAAAGAAAACAATATAATTCTTCACTTTTTACAGTTGTGTTGTAGTTGAGGACAGCGCAATAGGTCTTGCAGCCGCCAAAGCTGCTGGAATGAAGTGCATTGTGACAAAGAGTGGGTAAGTTATTTCCTCTGTTCTGTGAACATATTTTTTAATCGTTGGTAGCTGTTTCCTCTAGTCTATCAAAATGATCCTTTTTCAAATATAAGAGGCTTCCATTGTTTTGCTACAAATGCGGGTATAACTTGAATCTCAATGGATCTTGTTGCTTCGGGTGCCGAATGAGATTCAATACTATACTTTTCCTCGTCACCCGTATACTCCATTTTGGGTATAAAGGATGCAAAATTTGATGAGGATGACTAGAAACCAATCACCTATCATTAGAGAAACCAATGAGCCTTTCTTTCATGTTGTTTGGTTGACTAGAAAGGAAATGACAGGTATTTTATGTTTTGAACATGATACACTAAGAATTGAAAGGGCTTTATATCACATTAAATGGGATTTCTTCATAGAATTAAACAACAATGCACCTTATGTAATACACAAATATATAATGTTATGTACTTATGTGCCCTGTATGTACATGTATATAGTGTGTACATAAGGATACCTATGTATGAAAGGTGCTGCCCGGTTCTGGCAGAAGAATCTGAAAGAGAACTTCTCCCTTCCTTTCCTCTCCCTCTTCCCCTACCAAGCAGGGGAAACTCCTCGCTCCTTCACCTTTTCCTTCCCTTATCTTTCCTTCTCTCCATTCTTCCTCACAACCGGACAAAACAATATTCAATAGATGCTCGTTACCATGCACACATGGAAAACAAAAGCATTCAGATTTTCTAGATGACATTGGAAAGTCATTTGAATGAACTGAACTTCTTTTATCTCAAACCAAGTAAAAGATAAAAATATTAGCAGCGGTGTCTTCTCAAACTTGCAAAACACTTTGCACGGGCGGGGCACCCTGGACTACCACCATTACAGCATCTGTTTACCCTGAAAGATGTGGTGATAACATGCGATTATACCTAACCCTGTTTCCCTTGGAATCAGTATCTTATAGAACTTTTATGACACTTGTCTTCATAATTGAGTAAGGAATTTGTTATGAAGAGAGAACTTTCTTATGCTGCAAACATTACATGTGTAGGCCTCTCCTAAAACCACTTTCTGGATCTTTTTGTGGTAGCACCAAATTGCAAATTAAACGTCATATATTGCCACTAACTTTTTGAATCATACATAACATTGCTTCATTGCATGTATATCAGTGAGGTGGAAGTACGTTTTGTCCGTGATTATTTGGAAGGACGTGTGAATCATTTAAAACATAATCTTTCTCTGTTGAAAATCCACTAAAAAAATTCATGAGATAAGCTTCCTTTTGGTTTAACATGCATTGCTCTATCCCACTCATTCATTCTTCAAGTTTACGTCTTTCTACTACCGGCAACAGTGTAGTTGAACTGCTGTCAGCACTTGCATATGTTGTCTTGAGATTCATCATCAGTTTATTCTTTTTCACTGCAATTATTGTGATGTAGAACAATCTTAATGATTGACTCAATTTCTGGTTGCAGTTACACAGCCGACGAGGACTTCCTAAACGCGGATGCAGTTTTTGATTGCATTGGAGACCCTCCCGAGGAACGTTTTGACCTCGCATTCTGTGGAAGTCTTCTCGAGAAGCAGTGTGTTAGTTAAGCAAATGTAAGTTGTAATAACTGTGAACCTCTAGTTCAATTTAATATGTTCTTCCCATTCTATGGAGATCACCCCCGAATGTCATGTTAGGAATAAGAGATCAGAGCTGTCAATTTCCTAGTTTAGCCAATTCGGTTAATATTTATATTATTGTATATTGATTCTTGCATAGGGTTGAAGCCCATTTGCATGAATTTTTATTTCTGCAGAATGGTAGATATTGTAAAGCTTTATTGCTCAGAAACTTGACTTGCTGGATTCATTTTTCTTACACAACAAACCTCTTAAGTGAAATTTTTTTGAAACAAACAAAGTTAAGACTGTAATTTATCGGATTGTATATGCTTTGTTAGTCGGATTCAGTTTGAAACTGTGATTTTCAATTCGTTGCCAAAATGGTGTCGAAAACAGTATTTAACAGGTACAGAATTTAGGAAATCAACATGAATACAAGATTGTAGAAAAACATTAATTTTGTTTTTTTGAAGAAAGCATTAGAGTGCAATTAAATTGAGAATGCAACACTACGTCATTAATGGCGGCCAAAACGTGTTTTTTGTTTTGGGTCAGGTGATGTAACAATTTTCTTTTAGGTTGGATAGTGTAGCAGTTTTTTTTAGGAAAAACGTATTTGGTAAAAAAAAAAAGTTTTGTTTTGTACTCCATCATTTCATAAATAGTGGCCAAAAGTCAAAACACCGATTTGGCATTTTAATATGTTTTCGCGCCATAGCAACGAATAGGCGGTGAATGGTAAAATGATTTATTTTAAATCAATCATTATATTTTTCAAACTTGCAATATTTTTTTACCAAATATGTTTTCATGTTTTTACTTCTAAATTTTGTAAAATAAACGGAGTTTTATAAAAAAAAATGCTTCAAAATACTTATTTTATTTTGAGTTAAAACAAAAAAATTCAAAAATAAAAGGCTATCAAATAGGTCGAAAGTTCTGGTGGTGGTTGATTTGGGCCTCTTCATGGGTGTTAAATAGGTGGTCAAAGGTGGCCTGTTACCAAATGGAGAGGAATAAAGGTTTGGAAGTGGCCTCGGCTGTTTCTACAATTGGATTGGACCTTTCTCGGCCCATAAAAAAAGTGATCAAAGATCATAACAGGAAATTAAGACATAAGTCCCAGTTTGGTTGGAAAGAAATGCAATGAGAAAAGAAAGGAAATTAATTAATGTGACTTTTTGTGTTTGGTAAAAATTTTAGAAGGAAATGGAAGGATTTGGAGGGGTATATTAAAATTTAAAGAGCTGGTTTTGCTTTTATACTCCAAAAATGGGAAGAAAGGGGGAGGAAAGTAAATGTCAACTTTGCCTTTGTTTTTTTTTTAATTGAAGACACTGTAAAAATTATATGATAACACGGGTCTCAATTGTAGCTTTAGATTCAACCATCCAAAGGAGAGTCATGTTCTTTTTTCTTCCCATAATCCTTCATTTTCTCATTTAAAATGCAGTGAAGAGATGTATTTGAAACTAAACTTCACACATGTATCCTAAATCTCTCTCTTCCAACACACTCAACGACAATCACACTAGATAACCTAGGTAGCAACAACCCTTGAAATTACTCCGTCTCTAACCTACATCCTGAATTTTGGGGTAACTACCCTATGCAAGATGAAAACAAGTACCATAAAAGTAGAATAGAACTGCAACACATAATGACACACACATACATTGCAAGTTTAATCAAATAATAAAGGAGATTGACAAAGAAAGCAATCCACATTCTTCCTTAGCTGTAAGTAACCAAAATTCAGCATTTTGTATCAAAAAGAAAATGGTAAGAGATCCATGGGTAGTCCATATCACTCTAATCTCTAAAATCTGAAAAACTCTGTTTCATGTAAAACACTAAAATTTACTCTTTTCTACTAAAATAAATTAGTGCATTATATATCATGGTTATTTACTTGTTCAAAAATTAAGTTTTACCTAAACCATATTAGGCCTTTGTGGCAACAGAAGATTGTAGAATTTATCATGCAAGAAGAAATGCTTTCCCTTGCTATCAACAGCTTTTTTCCACCCAACCCATCCGCCATTTACAATTTTCTTAAGCTCATCATTGCCCGTGTAGTGAGGATCAAGAATGAGAAATGCACAATCTCCGCTTGCTTCATTGTAATCAACTCCCAAAAGGGTATAAGCAAGAACTCCACCACCTGCACATACAAACCTAGTGATAAGCCTCTTTGAATTGTACCGGTCTTTTTTTGATTGTTTTGCTTTTTCATTAAACAAAATAGAGACGACATCCAAGGCACTTTGAAGGGAGATACTACTTTAAAGAAAAGCTACAGAAAGACATATGGGATAAAAGAGCAAATTGCATCCTACTGACCAATCATAACCGGTGTTCCCTGGTTCTCAAAATGCAAGGCCAGCTCTCGACATTTTTCAGGAAGCTCGGCTCCAGATCTCACATTTATGACTTTGCAGCTGACCTGTTCAACCCAGCCAGTGATTATTTCATTGCAACAAAAGTACAAATGTACATGAGTAGCACACCATTGGCACTATTTAGATAATATCCTTGTATAGAAAAAGAAGAAGTTTATCCATATTTACATAAACATGCATCATAGTTGCAAAGACTCAGTAAAATAAATATCTTTTAAAAAGTTGGAAGTTTACATAGCATGAAGACAGTAAGGTGTTTAAAGCATTATGGTTTAAATTAACATTTTATCTCACACATTTATCCATATATATACAATTGGCAATTAAAATTATGAATGACACATTTTAAATGAGAACGGCATACTTACACCTAGAAGTTTGTCTAAAACAAAGCTTAATTCAATGGCACCAATCCATTCACGTGACCCCATAAATGAAGGGTCCTTATCGCCAATCTCTACCAACGACTGCTGTATTTCCCTGAATAAAAAGCACTCTGTTTGTAAGACCAGCCATATGACGTTAACAATTGCAAAGCACAACTTTAAATACTATGGTCATCACTATGTAACCGCAAATGCAGTTGCTTATGTAAAGCTCAAAAGTTGAAACAAGAAAAAATCCTCCGTCTGCTTAGGTAGTGCAGAATTTGATTTGGAAAGGACAAAAATAAATTTCAACACAAAGGTCGTGGCAGTTATGACGTGTTAAAGGTGATCATCAGTACCTGTGTGAAGGAACATCAATGGAGGCGTAATGTTGGAGTCTAAACCATGAAATGATAGTTTGCAGAGAGCGGTAAGCACAGCCCCAGCCCTAGCAAGTGAAACACAAATAACCAACTGAGAAGAACTGCAAAGGTAAATAATCTGGATGACTAAGGTATTTGATTGCAATAGCATATGTTAATTTTAAAAAACATTGTTAAATAAATCCAATAATACCTTACAATCATGAATTAAGTAAACTTCATTTAATTTACCAAAAAACATATATTATTGAAAACTGAAGCAGATATAATCACCAAGCAATAGCTTGAGTGGTATCTCCTCCACTTCTAATTTCCAAGGGGTCACAGGTCCAAGTCCCAATTGGGACAAAGTGAGTGAAAGAGAGACTGTGGATCTAATGTATCAGGGGATAAAAAAAGCCTTTAAAACTAAAAGACAAAAATAAATAAATAAATATAATAAATATATGTCAAAGCTAGAACTAAGCTACTAGGATAACCGCATTTTCAAAATAATTATAATGTAAAAATATATATATTTGGGCACGTAAAAAAGACCCCTTCAAAAATTTTGGAACACACGAATTCCCCTAGCCAGATATCCATTTCCCTGTCAAACACAATAAATTCAACTCAATCCAGGAAGTCAGATCAAATTATCTTAAACAAAAGACGGATTTTATGAATAATTTGTGAAATTCTAAATAAGCCTTGGGAATCTTACTTTGCCTAACCAGCAATAGTAACGTTTGCATTGAACAAAAATGCTGGTAAAACCCAATAGACATAGCATATCTCTTTTTCTAACAGCATTCTCCAACCGAAGTGTGTGGAATTTTGTAAAAGGAATGTGAAACATATGAACTGAAATTTTCACCAATCCCTTGTCGATTGGAACCAGCAAGGCAGCATTATAAAAAAGGAACTACTACGCTATGAAAGGGACAGTCATAGAACTAAACTTGAAATCAAGAATCTGAAATGCAAGCTGAGTTTCAATATCCACAATACTAAAATTTTTGCAAGCTGAGTTTCAATATCCACAATACTAAAATTTTCCTTCAAAAATAAGATCCCCATGACAAATAAAAGTCTGAACTGTAGGCTACAGAGAAAGCCTTCCAAATACATCTGTAAGGCTTGAAAGCCAACTGAAGGTGAAACTACTTGAACGATATTGTGAGGAAAAGATTATGAGAAACTACTTGCAAATAATTAATTTTTTTCTACTTCCTATACATTACAGTACAAAACAGTACAACAGAAGCATACGACTAACAAAAGCTTCTAATGAACTAATGAAACTTAATTTATAGACTATACCATATAGTCATCATAAATAGAAATAACTAATAATTTTAAAATCAGAAGCCAAAAACTAACTCTTTTTTAAGATGTCACAATATATAAAACTACTAAAAGGGAGAAATTCTCTTACCGAGTCATCAAATCCATCTTGAAGGTAATGATGGTACTCATAAGAACCTTGAATAAGAGAGACTAGCCCCCCAGAAGCTGTGCAATAAATCATGATTTTCAGTGCAAGTGGAACTAAGAGAAATCAGGAAAAGAAAAGGAAAAATCAAGAGGTCTACAGTAACCACTAACCTCCACTGCTTGGAATTCCAAGATGTACATCCTTGAGCAAAGGGGAACCTGATATATTAACATAGATTTGTCAACACATTTAGTGCACAAAACTCATGCATGCACAAAAAACCACGGATTACACAAAATGTAGCCTATTTGAAATTGAATGGTTACCCCTTCGTGTGGAGTTGCTCCTTGCACTATCCTTTGTTATAGATAAATTAATGGCATTGGCAATTCTTAGGAGAGGACGATCGAAAGGTAATCCCAGCCTCAAATGCAGAGATTTTCTGATTTCAACTGCAGATAGATTCTATTAATTTATCAGAAGTTTCAAAAACTGTTGCATAGTACGGATCAACAAAATATGAGTATTACATCAAACTATAAGTTAGGAAGCGTCCATAATGGCAGCTGGCATGGCAATGTCACAACAGACAAAATTTGCCAGCATTTTGAGTCCCCTAATGAGACGTATTAAAATACTAAAACTCGGACCAGTACCCTCAACTGGTGTGGGGAGACGATACACTCTTTCGCTTCATTTATAATGCAATTCATCTACAAATATTTACATGCATCAAACATTTAATACAGGTTAAGAATTGATTTTACATTGGCAATTATTTTGTGTAAGAAACTGAACAACCAGGGCATAAATATATGTATATTATTATTAATTAATCATTTCATACAAACCCCTAAATCACGCTCTTCAATAATTCAATCTTGACTTGCAATTTGCGCATTATCCTTTAGGAGGGAAATAAATAATATCTAATTCTACATCATTGAACAACTCCGTATGAGGAACTATTGTACATTACCCACCGTAGCCTATCCAGAACAAATACTAGAGAGAAAACTAACATTTAGCATTATTCTTACACAAGAAATTTGAAAGTGTAACAGAAATACATTTCATTAGGACAAATGCTGTATGTTGGCATATTCCTAATCAGAACTTGGTCATAAATAAAGTCCAAGTCATTAATTAGCTTGATTATTTGATTAGATGTAATTAAAGATTTAAGTATGAAGATGCTAGAGTCTTGGAGAGGGCGGTCAGTGGGCAGCCGAGTTAGAGAAGCATGGAGGGTAACTCCTCTTTGTTTATGGTGGGGGCTGTGGCGTGAGAGGAATAGGAGGTCCTTCGAAGGCGAGGAATCTCTTGTTTGGGCTATTAAATTGAATATTTTGCACTCTCTTTTCTCTTTTCTTTTGGGTTAATGGGAAAAGTTGTTCATCTACTGATAACCTTTTGAATTTTGTTGACAACTTGAAGTTGTAGTGGCGCCTACGGCGTCCTTTGCTTTGCTGGTACTGGGATTGCTCCCCGTTTGAGTGTTTTAATGTTACTTTATGCTTACTCAACAAAAAAAAAAAAAAGAATTTAAGCACGAAGATCAAAGTAAAATTGCAAAGGTGAATTATTTCAAGAATTTTGATCAACTTGAATTTCACATAATGAATGATAAGTCTAACAAGTGAACCCTACGTATAGATTGGATAATAACTAGTTGATTCCTACGGATTTAGATCAATCCACTTTTGATATGTTTATAAATTTGAAAACGTGTTTTTATTGGATTTTTTTTTTGCAAATAAATTCATGTGAGGTTGTGAATGACCTAGCCAAAACATGGAACTATGGAAGGACTTAAAGTTATCTCGCACGTCGCTGCGTTGGGAGTAGGACCTAACATGCCTAGGTGTACAAGCAATCCACATGGCATATGCTTAGGTGTCGTTTGATAATATAATTCAACACTTAATTCTGAATAGATTAAATGATTATCCAATTGGTCAGCACTTAATTCTAAACAAATTAAGTGATTATCCAATTAAGTGCGTTTGATAACACAAAATGAATATCACTTAAAAGAATAAGTGCAACTTAAAATGTGGTGAAATTTTAAGTGACGGTGCACTTATTACTAAATGTTGAACACTAAAAATTCAAAAATATATCATAAAATTCTCAATTTGCAATTACCAGTTAAAACTTCAGCTCCTAAAATTTTCAATACTTAATAATCAATTTTAGCAAACAAAACCTTAGTGAATATAGTTGAATTCCACACTACTACAAAAATGTTTCTGTTAAAAGCCGTATCATTCAGCATTCTTCAAAGTTAACAAATATGTGGCCTGAGAAGTATTTTAAGCCTAAAAGAATGTTTGCTTTCACCTTGCTTGATTTCTGTCTCCCCATAATTGAGTTCATAGACGACCGTTATTGGATGCAAAATCCCAGGAGGACTGAAGTGGTAAGGATGCAGCTGCAAAAGCAATGAAGGTTGTAGTTATTTGCAGGTAATCAATATAACAATTGTCTCATGACCAAGAAAGGAATTAAGAATTTCCTGGAGTAAAATACATACAGGTAATTTGAGAAAAATAGAATATTCACAAAATATTATAAACTTAGGCAAATAGAATAAGATATTTTGGGAAATCAATAACACAATCTCATGAATTCATAGATGAAGCATATTGAAGAGGATATCCTGTGGAAGTATTTGTGGCCATGGCACACATGTAAAGTTTTTTATTTTGTTTTTACTTTGAGGGCAAATATAAGCAGTACTAATTAAATTTACAGTGCCCAAAGATCATTTTCTCATTTTTCTTGTTATTTAATCTCCTAACATCCTTGTTACTGTATGAAGTATCTAGGCTGCAGTGTTCATTGCATATGTCTTGTTATTTGCACACCTTTGTCAAGGCCTAAGAGAAGGCAGGATTTTGAAGCAGACTTTATTGAGAAAGATAGCATTTAATTTGACAATGTATTAAGTCCTGAAACTTGTAAAAGAATACAAAGGTTTGAAAAGTAAAGTTATCTTCCTTTTCACTCAATGAATGCATACAACTTGGCGCATTTGGTTTGACATGTTCTTATGGGACACGATGCTAGGCAGCAAAGAGATTACATTTTGTGAATAAGAGTGTCTGAAATGCAGAAGTTTAGTATGTATGTGTGAATATTAGGCCATAACCAACAAGCCTGTGGCCTAGCGGTACAAGGCTCCTACTTCCCAAAGGGAGGTCAGGAGTTCGAACCTCAATGGAGGCAGTGTGTGTGAGTCCCAACTAGGAAAAAAATATACATATATAAGGCCATAGGAGTAAACGATATGGACATTGAGTAATACGCATGTTGGACAGCTAAGAAACAATATTTTCACCTAATACACGCACATATAATATTGATGTATATTAGTCTATATATATTAATATGTATGCATACGTGTGTGATGTGTCTCACTGCAATATTCTCCTTGCTATTAATTTTCATTTTTCACGGATGCTACATCCATAATAAAATAAGACATAAAAAGAGGTCATCCTACCTGTGGATGATGTGTTAAGAGGTAGGGCAAGATTGTATTCTTCATTGTACATAACTGGTCAACTAATCCAGGGATAATTAACTTTGAGGCTGCATATGACAGTGGAAGATCCTTTGCCGAATAGCAAAGCACTTCTAGCTTGTAATCTACAACCAAAAGTTTGGCATCTTCCAAAGCTGAAAGAACAGGTGTTAATTACTGTAAATATGAGTTGAAGATCTGGAGCCTATGAAAAGGCATGATCAAGAATGTTATTTACATATGGTGAATACGTATAAAAGAAAGAAGGAAGTTATCTAAGAATGAAATTATACCTGGAAAAAATTTCGCAATAGGTGCAGCAGATTTTGAAGGATTCCCTGACCTATTAAGTAGGATAGTTACTTGGATTTTATCTGCACTCTAAGCAAAGAAACTTTCAAAATGTTGCTCACAGAGAGTCATTTAAAAATGGATCAAATAAATTATAAGACAATAATCAAGGTAGTCAAATTCTCAACAAAAACTCAAATAAACAAGTCAATGTCTCTAGATAGATTATATGAAACTTACCTCCTCCATAGAAGTAAACGATGAGTTATCATTACTTTTTGAACAAAAATATGAACATGGTAAGGATTTGGCATCAGATTCTTGAGCAGTTTTAATTAACTGCCAAGCATTTGAGAGATTTGTCTGGAAATCCAATTCCACACCACGAAGTATGACAGGCCGAGGTACTTCAGTTAAGGATTCATTTAAGGTTTCTACAATGTATGTGACTTGTGGATCTCTAAGCTTAGCAGCAATGGCATCAGTTGCCTGCAAACAAAAATTCTCCGCATCTGAAAACACCAATGAGTTAATCAAAACTGGAAACATTGGTCTTATGGATTATATGCAGATAAGTATTTCAGAAATTTTCACCAATAGCCAGAAATTGTAAGTATGGTATTACTAATCCAGAAAATCATTGTAAACCCCGTTACGAAAATAAGCCTAAAAACAAATTCTCAAACATAAAAGCACTTCAGTTGAATATTTAACATTACTCAAAAGTATAATAAATATCTCGTATCCATTATATTTTTAACAGCGGAACACAAAAGGCTTGTTTACAAAATAACTTAATATTACCGAAGGCTATAGCCTAGTGGTACTTCCTCACCTTCCAAATTAAAAGGTCGAGAGTTCAAGTCCCCATAGGTTAATTTATGACTATATAAACTAAAGAAGTCAAGGATGCGTCAGTTCACATTATAATTAATAATTTAAACCATCTAGTCTGTGTAAGTTATAAGAATTGGGACTGGGAATGATTTTACTTTATTCACAGACCCTTGGATTGGTGGTCAATCTCTAATTTCTACATTTGGACATAGAGTTGTTAGACAGTTTGGTCTTAGGAGGACTGCCTCTCTCTCTCTACCATCATTCACTTGGGTACATGGTCTAAACCTCAACATGTCGATGAGGAGGCTTGGAACTTGATATCTGCTGTTCCTATCTCCCAGAGAGGTGATGCTATTTGTTGGGCTAAGGGATGTTGCAATTTTCAAAATGTATGGGAATGCATCAGAACTAAGAATTGCAGAGTTCCTTGGGAAACACTTGTATGGAATAAAGGCAGGCCACGAGCTTCCCTCACCACTCACCTGGCCATAATGAACAAAATCCCTTCCTTAGTGAATCTGCAAAAGCGAGGAATTCAATTGGCTGCTGTATGTCACAACTGTCCAAGGCACTTAGACACGGTTGATCATCTGTTCTGGTCCTGCCCTTTTGCTGTGGAAATTTGGAGATGGTTGTCTGACTTTGCTGGATGGAATCTACCAGATCTTAGTACCTTTGATCAATTTGTGGATTGGTGTACTGTGTCCTTCAGAACAAGTTCCACTAAAAATGCTGTTTCAAGATACTTTTTCACTACTGCCATTTGGAGCATTTGGAAAGCCAGAAACCAGAAATTACATCATGATTCCAGTGCATCTGATGTGGATACTGCCAGAGCAATGGCTTATGAAGTCTTGGACTCGGCTGCCATTTCTTAGTCAATTGGAATGCCTTGTAACTGGAAGTTATTTGACTGTTTATTTTCTCCTTACTGGAAATGGGTATTTTTCATTTCCAGTTTATGTATAGTAGGGGTTGCCCTCACTTCAATCCTTGTACTTCACTGTTTTTCTTTCTTAATACTAAAACACATTTAGGAAAGAAAAAAAATATGCTCAAGTTTGCAACTTTCTGCTTTTATAGTCATCCATTAGTAGCCACCAGCCCATGTCTGCTAGTCTCAACTCTCAAATCTAATTTCTAATTGAGTGTATCTAACATTATTTTTTCATGAAAAACAGATGTATTGGCATCATCATCTGCATATACTACTCTAACCCTACAAAGCAATTCTACAAGACATTTATGCTCTCAGCAAGCGACTACAGTGTGCCACTCACATGGGTTCTTTGGAAGCACTAAAGTTTTCTTTATTATGTATAAAATTGTGATTTTTTTATTATTATTATTATTTTTTTTTTTTTTGGGTATTACAAGGTAAGAGTATTTCTTATTTGTTTTGGAATTATGGTATTTGAATAGTAGAAGAGATTCAGCTTCAAAATAAAGAGTTCAACCACAAATGCATTTTACAGGAAAAAAGGAGTTCTGCCACAAACACACTTCACCTAAACCAAACATCAATTCACTCCCTAAGACGTGGGACTAGTATCACTAGACATGCATGACATCTCTCAAAATAAACTACACAGTCCTCTGGTTGATCTTCCAACAAGAATGGAAGAATAATTATAGAATGAAGCATTAGTTTCATACACACAATAGTTTATTGTAATGGCAGATAACCTGAAAATCCAAAACTCAACATAAAACATCAGCTTTATTGTAATTCAAACATTGAAGGGCTGCAATTCCTAGAATGTGATAACTGAAATGTGTGTGTGATATGATTGAGTGGCATTTTAAGTAGCAATTGCACCCAAAACTTAATCAGTGCAGATTAAAAGCCAATGAAAAAGCAAGCCTCAACAACATTTGCATATTAACAAATTCAAATCACAGAATTCCATGAAATGCAAATAAATTGAGCTCAAATGATGACACCAAGAAAACAAAATACCTTTGAGACTGTTTACAGAATAATATAAAGGCAACTTAATCGGAAGCTCGCATCGAAGCATACAACCTCTCTCCCACACATACTTCTCAGCATTTTCTTCATACACAACATCCGAAACAGCCCCAATCTTACTCGAATTCCCTGATCTCGATACAAAAAACCGAACTTCTCCAACATTCGAATCCAAAACGGCTCCAATTAAACTCTGATCTCCCAATTTTCCCCCATTATCATCACCCTCAAGAAACTCCCTCAATTTCCGAGAAGCATCAATAGCCTCACCAGCAATTCGTTCCAAATTCAAATTATTTCCAACAATTAGCGCTCCGATAACAGTAAAACCTCTTGGTAGCAGTGTTCGAAGATCATCTGCTCATAAATTATTCAACTGAATTAATTATACAATCCAAAGATACACCAACACAGACATATATGTATGTATAGATGCTTATAGTATATGGGATTATTGAGATGGTTTGAATGAAGATTACCTGATTCTTTGGAGTGATCTGGAGAGAGAGGATTGGATGGGAGGGTGTGGATGCATCTGAAGGTGGAGAGGATTGTGAAGGGAGGGAAAAAATGTGATCCGATGAGCCATTGAAGGCCTGGTTCGTTCTTGATGATCACAAGCCTACGACACAGGACTCTGATGCTTGATTTCCCGTTTTCGTTATCCATGAATGAGTGAGAAGAGTAATCTCTTCTTCTGCTATGAATCGAGTGAAGTGAAGCTTCTGGGTTCGATGCTGCGTTTCGCAGGATTTCAATTTAATGCGAGGTGTTTGGGCACGGGGATATGCAATCCGATTCGAGGATAATAATTTATATTAAGTCATGTTATAATTCAATTTTATTTAAATACTATTTTACCTTAAATAAAATATTATTTTACTTTAATTTTTTTAAAAATTATTAAATAATATAAATACTTACCAACTGTTTGGCTCAAAGTGTGCCCAGAGTATATTTTTAGTTTGAGTAATGATAAGCAACTGGAAAGAGAAAACGAGAAAACTTTTTAAATCTGATTTGGTTAAGCCACGTCAAAATTAGAAAAGAAAAAGTCCTCTTTTATATGGTATAAATGAAAAGAAAAAAAAAATAAAAAAAAAAATATGGTATTTTCTCTTTCCCGCACAAATAGAAAACTAAAAACTCTCTAAAATTAGATATATATAACACTTCTCATGTATCACCTTTTGTAAAATTACTCTAGACCCCTACTTTTTCTCTAAAAGACAAACTTTAATAGGATGAATAAATTATAGATTAAACATTCCTTAATATAAATTTTAAAACAATAAATATTTAGTTTATACATAGTATAGATAATACTGTATTTGTATAGTTCTATGAATTTTTACTTTGTAAATTTAAATTTATGGAACACGGGAACAAGTAAATTTCAGTTTGTGAGGAGAAAGTGTTTTTTTTTCTTTCTAACGTGAGTTAGCTAAATCAGATTCGAGAGGAGTTTTAGAAACACCATATTTTTTTTTTTTATTTCTGACGTGACTTGTCCAAATCAAATTCGAGAAGTTTTGGCGTTTTAGTTTTGTGGGTGCAGGAATTCTATAAGTCTGAATTTGCAATTTAGATTTTTTTTTTATATAGTTAAAATTAGTTTTCAATGAGGGAATGATTTAACATTGATGGGGGAACATATTGGGCATTTGGAAGTTCAGAATTTGAAGCCTGTCAGAGAGATTTTTTGAACCATTAAAGTGGTACATCTGAGAATTGCTTATAAGCACAACAATTGATCCAATTAGACCACCAAACCAAACAACTTAGTAAAGACAAGGTTAATTGTACACACACAACATAATACAAAATTAACACAACATAACACAACATTCTACCATTAAAATGTCAAATTCCTCATACAACAAGATACAAAATTTAGCCCCTTCAAAACGCGACCACTATCAACCTCTTGACATGACAATGACAACTAACCTCCCCAAACCACCAAACCCTAAAACTTTAATTCATGCTTATAGATAGGGAGACAATCTATTCTTGATTTGATACTCCACACTTATTATTGCAAATTTCATGATTCTCTAGATTAATTTCAAATTTCAAAAATTCAAATATTTTCAAAAATATTTTATCGTTTGGTAGGTTCGATCGATCTGAGACACTTCATGAACGATCGAAGTTCGATCGATCCGATGGACCTCGTGATCGACCAACCGAAACAGCACCAATTACCTCCATTCCACCAGCTTCTTTCTTAGTACCTGTAGTGAGGAGGCTTGTAAGGACCTTCAACAGGGACACTAATGTAGGTCGCCTGCTCAGGACTAAGCTTCGTGAGCTTAGCTCTAAGCTTACCAAGATGAAGGGCCGCAACTTTCTCATCCAAATGTCTGGGCAGAAAGTAGACTTTTTTCTCATACTTGCCACTAGCCCTCTCCTTCTAGAGCTCAAGCTAAGCAATCACCTAGTTTGTGAAAAAGCATGACATAACAAAGCTTGGATGTCCAGTTGCACATCCCAAGTTCATCAACCGCCCCTCAGCAAGAACTATGATGCCGGTCTGGGTTTCGGGGAACACCCAACGATCAGTTTAGGGCTTGATGGTGATGCGCTTGATACCCGGGTAAGTTTCCAGACCTAGCATGTCGATCTCATTGTCAAAATGGCCAATGTTACAGACAATTGCATTGTTTTTCATCTTTCTCATGTGATGAACCATAATGATGTCTTTGTTTCCTGTGGTGGTCACAAAGATGTCAGCTTCTGAGACAACATCTTCTAAGGTAAGAACTGGGATTCCTTCCATCAGGGCTTGAAGAGCACAAATTGGATCGATTTCTGTCACAATTACACGGGCACCAGCCTGCTTGAGAGCAGCAGCACAACCCTTGCCAACATTTCCATACCCACAGACAACAGCAACTTTACCGGCAATCATGATGTCAGTAGCCCTCATGAGACCATCAGGGAGCGAGTTTCGGCATCCGTACAAGTTATCAAACTGTGATAAGATAGAAAAATTAGAACCTAAAAAGGCAAGATAAAGATATACTTTGCAACAAGAAGACCAAATCAATTACGTAAACTGATACGCTTTGTTACATCAACCAGTTATGAAGCAATCTCTCAATTCTAGTCATAAATCTTGAACGAGAATTAATAAAGCACCATGCAATGCATTTAAAGTTTCAAGCTCTTGAAGTATTGGCAACTTGACTTTCTCCAAAATCCAACATTTACTTTTGGACAAGGCAGACAATTGAGGTGATGAAGCAAATGGATTTAGCAGGACATTTAAGAAAAATGCTACATCCAATTGTTTCCCCCTAAAACAAGTGAAGGTTTCAGGAACCCAATATTGCTTTTGTGATTTCATTTTCAAATCATCTTGAAGAAAATGAAAAAACGAAAAATAGAAGTCTTGAACTTTTCAAAATGCAACTTCAGATTAAGACCAAAATGCACCATTCTTTTTCCCTTTGACTTTTTTATTGGTTAAGGGGCTGTTTGGCATCTACTTTGTTTTTGGTGTTTTTGTTTCAGGCCCGCTACAGTAACCCAAATGAAGCCCAAAATATGTTTGGTTGGTTATGTTTTGTTTTGCACAGTTGTAAAACATTTCAATAAAAAGGCCCAAAACTTAAAACATCAAAATGGTGTTTTATCTTGTTTTACCACTGTTTGGGCAAATTTTTACTTTAGCAGAGGAAACAGCCGGCCCAACTTATTTCAGGTATATAAACATTTTAGGTCATTTTTGGGCAAATTTTCTCTTTCCTCTCCCAGTACTCTCTCTACAATTCAAGGGTGATTTCAAAAAATGTTTATCAAATACAACACCGAAGCTGGATTTTCATCACCACCGATCCAAGCCTAACTAAACTGAATAAGATATGAAGTAGAAAAATCGAAATGAAGAGTGAGAGACCTCAGAGAGGGCCAAACGGGGATAAGCGAAGAGAGTGGTGAAGCTGTCGGCAATCACCACGGAGTCCCTCTCGACCACTTTGAGCGCTCTCAGAATCTCTTTCTGACCAAATTTTGAGGGTTTCGATTCGCCAGCTCTGTTATCTTCTTCTTGATCTTCCTGAGAATTCTGGTGACGTGTTGTTGATTGCTAATTCGTTTCGGTATCTGAAATTAGGGTTTCTGAGGAGATCGTTGTTGTCGTTTGAGCTTTGTGTGCACCTCCTTCTTATGCATCCATTTTCAGGTGGTTCTTCGAAGATCATACCAATTGGCTGGGAATTTGATCATGAATCTGTGACCGATTAATGTTTGGGCAAGTTTTCAGTCCAAGCCCTTAACTGGATTTTCATCACCACCGATACATGTAAATAGTTTATTACAAAAATAAAAAAACAAATATATATATATATATATATATATATATATATATATATATATTTGTGTGACCAAACATGTTTTTCATATTTTTGTTTCCAACATTTTCATAGCAAAGCATAGTTGCCAAACGTGTTTCCGAATTTTTTTCAAAACACTCAACAACAAAAACATTGTTTCTGTTTTAGCCAAAAACGAAACGCCAAAAACAAAACGCATGCCAAACGAGCCCTAAGTGTTTCATTTGAACCCAATATGCACCAAATACATTTCCCCATCAATTTTTAATTAAAAAAAAAAAAAAAATAGTTAGCACGTTTCAAAAGTAAATCAACCAAGCCTGATAGGCTGATAGTCCTATAAATAACTAATAAAAAACAATTTTAACCAACAATCATTTAACCAGATTTTAATACAAAATAAGTATTCAAGCATTTAAACCAACACTGTATCCGAATTCCTAACTAGTTATAGATCTGAAGACCATGTTCAACTTCAATGCTCCAGCTAAAACCCCACTTCCACTTTCCCTTACTTTCATCCATTTTCCTAGCATCCAAGCACAGCTAAAAAACACAGAGGAAACCTAGAACTCTTTATTTAACTTACTCGATTAAAATCCCAGTTATTGAAATTTTTATATATATAACAAAACTTTGCAATAATTTCAACTCAAACCCATCAACAAATATCTATTAAGCAAATTTCATACATTAAAATAATAATAATAATAATAAATAAGCTCAACATTTTAAACCCAATCAAAGTAAAAAGACAGTACCTTACTCTTGGTAATAGAATCCTTAACATTGATAGCAGGAAACAGTAGAGTCCCATTCAATTGCATCTGATACAACCTCTTCACACCAGTCGTCGTCTCCTCCGAAACCCCAACTACTCTCTCCTTCATCCTCCGATATTTCTTCAGATCCACCTTCAACCCATCCCGAATTATCCCCAAAACAATCTGAAACTCCGCATTATCCACCGACGCCAGCTCCGGAACCTTCCCGGTCCTCTCGAACTCCTCCTCCGCCTTCACCCCCTCGTGAATCAACAGCGTGGCGTTGCCACCATCATCGACGATGAGGTCGGTGAAAGAAACTATCAAGTCTAAAGAGATCGCATTACCTCCAGCCATGAAATCAGTTTGGTTAATGCCTGCAAAATAAATTTGGAAATCCTAATGATGTCCACGCCTATAAAAGTCTTGATACGTGTACTTGATGGAGATAACACAGACTGTACTTGTTAGACATGGGACCTCTGTAGGATTCTGTAAAAAATAAAATCGAGAAGCAAGTAATCCATCATACAAGCCCTCTTTTCTATTTTGATTCAAAATGGCAGTTATTATAAAACCACCGTAACTTCCCAAAAATCACGTAGTCGTAACTTCCCAGTAACGTTGTGTTAGTGTAAGAATATAGGCCACACCACGTTTAATGAATAAACGTGTCCA